TTAATAACACCCTCCTGAACAACCAATGGGTAACAGAGGAAATTAAAGAAGAAATTAGACAGGTTCTACAAGTAAATGACAATGACAGTACAACATACAGGAATCTGTGGGACACAATGAAAGCAGCTCTATGTGGGAAATTCATAGCAGTGAATGCCCATATCAGGACAACAGAGAGAACCAGTTAAATAACCTAAGGCAGAACCTCAAGCTCCTAGAAAAAGAAGAGCATAACAAACCCAAAGCTCATACAAGAAAGGAAATTGTAAAGATCCAAGCAGAAATCAATGCAATGGAGACTAAGGGAATGATACAAAAAATTAATGAATCAAAGAATTGTTTTTTTGAAAGAATAAATAAAACTGATAAACCTTTAGCCAACCTTATCAAAAACAGGAAAGCAAAGGCTCAAATCCTTGCAATTAAGAATGACAAAGGTGAAGTCACAACAGATCCAACAGAAATCTGGAGGATAATCAATACCTACTTTGAGAACGTGTACTCTAATAAAATGGAAAACACAGAAGAAATGGACAGATTCCGAGACACATACAAATTTCCAAAGTTAAATGAAGAAGATATAGAAGTTCTAAACACCCCAATTTCAATGAGTGAAATTGAAAATGTAATAAAAAATTTACCAACAAAGAATAGCCCAGGTCCTGATAGCTTCACTGCTGAATTCTATAAGACATTTAAAGAAGTATCACCATTAATTTTTAAACTCATCAAGGAAATTGAAAGGGAAGCAAAGCTTCCAAATTCATTCCTAGAAGCAAGTGTTACTTGGATTCCAAAGCCAGGGAAAGACCCAACCCTAAAAGAGAACTATAGACCAATCTCCCTAATGAACACAGATGCAAAAATCCTCAACAAAATACTGTCAAACAGAATACATAGGGTCATGAAGAAGATCATACACCCTGACCAAGTCGAATTTATCCCAGGGATGCAAGGATGGTTCAACATCTGTAAATCAATAAATGTAATACCCTATATTAACAGAGTCAAGGACAATAGCCATATGATCCTCTCAATAGATGCAGAAAAGGCATTTGACAAAATCCAACACCCATTTGTGATAAAAACGCTACAGAAAATTGGAATAGAAGGTCATTATGTCAACCGATTAAGGCTATCTATGAAAAACCAACAGCCAACATCATACTAAATGGTCAAAAATTGAAAACTTTCACTCTAAAATCAGGAACAAGGCAAGGATGCCCATTATCACCACTCCCGATAAGGATAGTTCTGGAAACATTAGCCACCACAATTAGAAAAGAGAAAGAAATAAAAGGAATAAAGATAGGAAAGGAAGAAGTTAAACTGTCATTATTTGCTGATATGATACTTTACATAGAAGACCGAAAACACTTGGTCAAAAGTCTTCTAGACTTAATTGACTGATTCAGTAGAGCAGCTGGATACAAGGTCAACACTCAAAAAACAATAGCCTTCTTATACTCAAATAGCAGACTCATTGAGAGAGAAATTAGGGAAATAATTCCTTTTACAATAGCATCTAAAAAATGAAATATTTAGGAATCAACATAGCAAAGGAAGCAAAGACCTCTACGCTGAAAACTACAATACCTTGAAAAAGGAGATTGAAGAGGATATAAGAAAATGGAAAGATATCTCTTTTTCCTGGGTAGGAAGAACCAATATAGTGAAAGTGGCCATACTTCCAAAAACTACTATAAAGATTCAATGAAATGCCAATTGAAATTCCAACAATATACTTCACAGAACTAGAGAAAACAATCCAAAAATTCATTTGGAACCAGAAGAGACCTAGAATAGCAAAAGAAATTCTAGGCAACAGAGATATGGCTGGGGTTATTATAATCCCAAACTTGAAACTTTACTACCAAGCTACTGTGATACAAACAGCATGGTACTGGAATAAGAACAGACCTGAGGATCAGTGGAATAGATTAGAGGATGCAGAAATAACTCCAGACATACCCAGCCACCTCATCTTTGAAAAATGAGCCAACCACCCTCATTGGAGGAAAGACAGCCTATTTAATAAATGGTGTTGGAAAAACTGGATTTCAACCTGCCAAAGATTGAAACTAGACCTATATTTATCATCATGCACTAATCTAAGATCAAAGTGGAATAAAGATCTAAATATTAAGACAGAAACACTAAACTTGCTGGTAGATAAGTTAGGCAGAACTATTGATAACATTGGCATAGGAAAAGACTTTATGAACAAATCCTCAGTAGCATGGGAGCTAGCACAAAGAATGAATAACTGGGATCTCATCCTATTCCAAAATTTCTGCACTTCAAGAGAAACCACCAACAGAGCTAAGAGACAACCTACAATGTGGAAAGAAATTTTTAGCAGCTGTACCTCAGACAAAAGTATACTATCGAGAATATATAAAGAATTTTAAAAAATCAGACCCCCCAAATTCAAAGATCCAATTCAAAAATGGGCATCCAAAAGGAACAGATATTTCTCAGACAAAGAAGCAAAACCAGCTAATAAATATATGAAAAAATGTTCAACATCACTGGTCATTCAAGAGATGCAGATGAAAACAACACTGAGATTCCACCTCACCTAAGAAAGAATGGCTGCTATTAAGAAATTGACCAATAGCAAATGCTGGTCGGGGTGTGGTGAGAAAGGAACCCTTCTCCATTGTTGGTAGGAGTGCAGACTGGTGCAACCACTCTGGAAATCAGTATGGAGATACCTCAAAGAACTAGGACTAGAGGTCCCATTTGACCTAGCTAACCCCCTGCTGTGTTTCTTCCCAAAATAATTAAAAGAATCACACCACAGTGATATATGTGCATCCATGTTTATAGCGGCACAGTTTGTAATAGTGAAAGCTTGGAAACAGCCCAAGTGCCCATCAACTGGAAACTGGATAAAGAACATGTGGGGTTTTTTTTAAATAAAATGGAGTACTACTCACCCATAAATAATGAGAAAATAGAGACATTTATAGCTAAATGGATGCCTATTGAGGCCATCCTCTGAAGTGTGATAAATATGACACACAGGGCCGGGGATTTAGCTCAGTGGTTCCAGCGCCTGCCTCACAAGAGCAAGAATCTGAGTTCAATCCCTGATACCAAAAAGTAAATAAATAAAAT